GCTGTGAGGGAGGGCCTCACAGGAGGGTCCTTTCCCCGCGGGTTTTGTGAAGCCAAGAACAGGTCTGAAGTCCAGCATCAACAGCAAAGTTTTATTCCGTGGCCAAAGAAGGGGGCAGCAGGAGCCTGGCTGGGGACCAACCTCCCCACCCCCAGGGGAGGCAGAGCCAGACAAGGGCTGCAGAGCTTCGCAGGAGGGGTGGACCAGGTTTTCAGAAAGGGGTGCAGTTTAGGCACCACCTGTTGGTGGTGCACCCTGTCTGGTCCTTCCTGGCCGCTACCATGGTGATGGTCAAAGGTCCTGGCCCTGCTGGGTGTCATTGGGCATGGAGATTAGATGATAAGGAGGCTCGGGTCTGTTAGAGGTGTGGACAGCCATCTTGCACCCGGCTGGTTTCAGCTGGTTCCTGCAGGAGAACCTCCTGGGGCCTGCTCTTGAGGAACAGCACGGTCAGCCGGGGCAGGACAGCGGGGCAGGCCAACCCCGGAGACAGGCTGCGCCCTGCTCTGGTGGCAGCTGTGTGCGGTTGATTAGAGGTGAGTGGCTTGGTCCATTCCATCCTCAAGGGAGTGTTACTCAAGGGCTCAGGAGAGTGGGGAGGGTCCCTGGGGACAAAAGGCAACAGGACTTGGTGTCCCCGCCACAGGGGAGCCAAGACAGGACCCCGGAAACCTGCCACTGACCTCAGCTTTCTAGAGACCACGCCAAGGCTCCTCCCGCTGTGGAAGCCAGGGACGTCTGTCACCTGGCCCAGGAGGCACTCAGCAGCAGCCCTTGCTCTCCGAACTCAGAGCCCAGGCCCCCAGGCCCACAGCCGGGCAGTCCTCTGGGAACCTGGCCCGTCACTGTCCTTCTGGGGCTGTGGGCCCTGTTTCCGCAGCAGAGGAACCTCAGCTGGGTGGGGCTAACTGCCCTGGGCAACTGTTTCTCCTCCAGGACGCTTGCCTCACTTCTGAAAGGCCAGAGCAGCTCTCGGGGCGCAGGAAGCCTGGCTCCTTTGGTGGACTCGGCCTGCGTGGCCACCTCCCTGGGAAGAAGCCAGGCTCCCTCCCTCAGGGGCTCCCTCTCCCTCCTCCCCCTCATGGCGATTGTGCGTCTCAGCAGCTCCTTCAGTGCAGACAAAGGCATGGCGTGACCTGTCCTGGGTCCGAAGGCCACACTCCTTGTTGAGCCACCCGGTGTCCTCAAGGGCAGGACGAGGGTCTCTGGCAGGCCAGGGCCCAACAGTACAGGCAGCTCAGCCTTTCCTCTGATGATGCAGTGGGTGACATGTGGCTGGGGGTCTCCTGTTCGGCCCTCTCTTCTGACACACTCCTTCTACCCTGCCTTATTCCAGAAAGTTCTCCCTTTCAGCTAGCTCAACCTCCCCATTCTCTGATCCCATGGTTCTTCTTGGGAAGATCTTTTCCGACTTGCCCCTGGGGGTGGGAGCTAGGACACCCACTGAGCCCAGGGCCCCATGGTCCTGCTCCCTGGGGCTGGGCCGGGGGAGGCCAGGACGGCCACTCCAGCTCTTCTTTCTGATCTCCCAGCAGGGGAGACCCAACACGAGACCCTAGGCTCATGGCTGGGGGTGTCAGTGCTGACCTGTGGCCATGGAAACTCCAAACCATGCAGGGCCTGTACTCCACAGGGGCGAAGTGCTTTGCCCCGGGGGTTCCTGGTTCCCAGGCAGAGCACCAGGAGCCTGCAGCTGCCGGGCAGAGCAAGCAGTAAGTGCACGAAATGGCACCAGGTGAAGAGCCCAGGAGGGGCCTGCGCTGCCCTGGCTCCCCCAGTGTGGGGTGGCCGCCTGAGCCTCCCCTGCAGCAGCTCCGCCTCATTACCTGGGGGAGGGCGGGCGACCCCCGTTTCAGGCGCAGACACAGCCTCGGGGAGCGCCCTCCTGCCACTTGTGCATCCACACCTTCTAATGTCACAGGGCAGCACTCAGGCCTCAGCGTTCCCTGTCCCCTCAGGCTTAGTCACAGGGGTGAGCAAGAGTCAGGCCCCAGGTCTCTACCAAGCAAAGCCACATTTATTGGGCACTGACTGGATACCAAATACAGGGTCAGGGTCAGGGCACCCCACTTTACAGACGCGGAAACAAGGCTCAGAGGTGTGACTCATCCAAGCGGTGATGCCAAGGCAACTTGGCACACGTTTGGTGCCACTGCCCACCCTCATCATCACCATGTCTGCTGTCCCCTCCAAATCACAAGAATCTCCACGGGGTGGAGTGGGGGATTCATGGCCGCTGGCCAGTCCGGGAAAGCTTCCTGGAGGAGGAGGCAGACCGTGAAGGAAGGTGGGATTTGAGAAGCAGAGCCCGTGAGAGGGGCGTTGGGGAGGGCCAGGTGCTGAGAGGTGGGAAGACACGGGGAAGGCTCTAGGCACTGGACGCCATCCTCCGAAGCTCCCTGAGAAGTGGGGAAGTCAGGAGGAGAAAAGGAACGTGGGCTGGGGCCACACGGGGAGTGAGGGGTCCGACCCGAGAGATGCCTGCATATGGCCGGCCTAGGACATGAGTCACAGGCACGGGGACAGCAGAGCCCAGCCCAGGGGGGCCCAGCCCTGCCAGGTCCTCTGCTGGAGGACGAGACACCCCAGGCCTCGCTCTCCCCTGTCCTGGTGAAGCCACAGCCTCTGTCCCCCAATGGGCACCTGGACGCTGGGCAGCAGAAGTGCTGGGAGAGGGGAGTCGATTCATGGTTCACCCCAGGAAGGACCCATGGACCCTCCCAGGGCAGCCCAAAGCCTGCTCATATTCTAACTCTGAGCCACCCTGAGGACAGACTGGAGGCTTGGCCAACCTTTCTCCCTTCTAATCAGCCTTCACCAAGCTCAGGAAGGAGCCTGAGTAGAGTCGGGAGAGATGACGATGATCTTTGTTCATTTGAGCTTCAACGGAAGAAAGATTCCATTTCACGTACATTGGGATTCAGGGCATTTTGTTTGAAGTCCTCACTGCTATTAGACTTTTTGTAACCACTCAGATTGTCCAACCTGCTCATTTGAACAAGAAACAAGAAGCCCAGAGAGGACCTGGGAGTTGCCTGAGGACACACAGCATGAAGGGCAGAACCCAGAGCCAGGGTCCCAGTGTTCCTTGTGGACTCCGGTCCATGCTCCCTCCACACACCATGAGGAGCCTGGGGCTGTGGGACTCAGGGGCGGGGGGAGTGGGTCCGGGGCTCAGGTATTCATGCAGCTGTTCAAGGGCTTCTGGAAGCCTCAGTGGGCAAACTGAGGTGACTCATGGTCTCACCCATACCCCAAAGCACACCCCGTGAAGCCACTCCTGGCTCAGTCATTCCTCCAAGGAGGGAGGAGGGAGGCCTCACACATCCCGAGTTGAGCAATGGAGGAGGGGTCAGAAGTACAGGGGTCCAGCCTTACCTACCCAGCAGCTCTGCAGCTCTGGGCTGCTCCTGTCACTTCCTTGGCTGTAAACAAACAAACAAACAAACAAACAAACAAAAACAGCCTGTGGTCCCAGCTACGTGGGCCGACGCAGGAGGAAGGCTTGAGCCCAGGAGTTCAAGGCCAGCCTGGACAATGTAGTGAGACCCATCTCAAAGCAAAACACAAAGCCAGAAACTTTCCAAAAAGCAAATAAGTGCATGGAGGCATGCACAACATGCATATGGCTACAACCACGCATATGGCTACAACCACGCATATGGCTCCGGTAGAGCGAATTCAGAACCAGCTCTGCAGTCGGACACCTGGGACTAAATGAAAATCGCTTGCATGCGGTGTAGATTTGGGCAAATAACTTAATCTCTCTGTGCTTCAGTGTCTTCATCTGTAAAATAGGGATAGTAAAAACAAGACCTACCCCCATGAACTAAGAAAATCAAGTAAGATAATATGTCTTCAGAGTTTGGGACGCTGCCCAACAGGGAGTGCTCTGTGTCACTGGCCACCTGCAAACAGCTGCTATTGCTGCTGCTCCTTCAGCTTCTATTGACCCCATGGTCCCTACCCACTGTATGATACCCCATTGAAGACAGGTGTTGGTCTGCCCAGAAGCCCAGCCTGGGGCCTGGGGCACAGGGTAACGGTGGGGAGGAGAATAGTCTCCTGAAAGTACTAGTACTGATGCCCCCACCTTATGATGGGGTTACAGTTGAAATCAAGATGATGATAAGCCAGATGTGTGTTCAACACACCCGCCATCCACACACACCCTATTTAGCCACCCCGCACTCGGCAGAGCCTCCCTTATTTTTCCTTCTGATCATGGTGGACCGCAAGCTGCCCAGCATCCTAAAGCAGTATCAGATGAATATTCCAAGCCCAGAAAAGATCAAAATTCAAAACTCCAAGAATCATTTCTACCGAATGTGATTGCTTTCACACCATGGCAAAGTAGAACCAAGTTGGCACCTGTACTCATAAAATGGGTGTGTGCCCTGGGGTATGCATGTCGGAGTACTCCCACTCCCACCATAAGCACAGTAGCTCCTCCAGGGGTCAAGTGAATGAATCTTTGAATGACAAATGCTCCTCGTTTGAGGCCCAATAATAATGAGCTTGCCAATGTGAGTCACCCACACCTGGTTCATCGTCTGTTCCTCCTACACACCCCTACAATTCCAGAGCCACAGCGTCAACCATGCTGAAAATTCAGCCATTCAACAAACATCAATTGGGTGCATGGCAACCTACTGACTCATGAGCCGGAAGGGGGTAAAATATTAGTGGCTAGACAGGGGTGGCAGGTGTCTTGATGTTATTGGACACATGTTTCTTAAGTGCTTGTCTAGTCTGATCTTGAGCAAACTATACTTATGTGACCTTGTTTAAGAATTAATGAGGGCCAGCTAATATTTCAGGAACTGCAGTTTGCTATTTTAGTTAAAAGCCCTTCAGGCTTGACAAATGAGGACCTCGTCTTCTCTGGGTTGGGCTAACTCTGAGGCTAGTTAAAAATCTTTCTGTATCTTTAAAAAGGGGAGGCATCCTGTCAAATGGGCCCTGAAACATAGGCTGAAGGCGCGTGAAGTCCCACCCACTTTCTGTGACGCCTTATGTCCCGGCTTCTGATTGCTCACTTCCGACGTCAATCGCGGGGCGTGTGTCTTGCTGGGACACAGTGGCGGTCTAACCTTTGCTTTGCGGAGCGGTCGGGTGTATTCTCCGCACGCCCCCCACGCCCTCGAGGCCCCCGCCGCCCGACCCAACGGTGGAGCCGACCAACGCCTCCCGCGGCACCCTCCCGCACCGGATCGCTCCTCGCTGGGGCGGGACGTGGCCCGACGGCGCCGGTCACTATGGTCAGTGTTCAGGGGGGAAAAGGGAAAGGGTGCGGGGGCGGGGTCGCCGCCTCCAGGGCGCATGTGCACTCGCGAGACTGGGGTCTGCGCGAGGGTCATTCTCCAGCGGTGTCCCCGCGGCGTTCCCACCCCCGGGAATTCTAAATCGGAACGGGTACTGGGGCCCAGGTACGCGTCCCGCTGTTCCCTAGGGATGCCCGGCAGAAGGGCCCCAGCTCGGCCCGAGGTCCCCGGGCTGGCACGTCGGCCCCAGGTGGCCCATGAAGTCGCGAGGTAGTAGGCGCCCGGACAGGAGCAGGGGGTGGTGTGTGGAGTGGGGATGGGGAGGGGGCTCCAGGGCTATGGTTGTCCCCTCTTTGTTAAGTAGCCCTCCCGCCCTAGGCTCACAGCCCCACCCACCAAGGGCTCGGCCATCAAAACCCACTCCTCTCCTGCCCCTCTGCCTCTGCCCCGGAATGGACTGACACGGGTGGCCAGGTCCAGGTGCTTGTACCGGTGGGTGGTTGGACTTTCGCTCAGATGTCAACAGGTCTTTGTAATTAGGAGAGGCTGCCTCAAGTGGGGAGGCTTGAGTTAGGGGAAGGCCGACTAGAAAAACCCCTGAGCAGAGTCCTGTCTGCACAGGAAGAGCCCCAGGAGAGGCCAGACCCAGGCTTGAGCATGTGGGGACACAGGCCAGGCAAGAGGGGCTGCTTTCCCACTCGGAAAAGCTTCTGGGCTCCTGGTCCCGTGCTCTTGGTGTAACCCATCAGCATAACTTCCAGGTGGCCATGGGACTGGGCATTTTGGCCACCCAGAGCACCTTAGCCCTGCACAGAGGCTGGGGGCTGGGTCGGGAGCTCACCTCCACCCCTTGGGAAGCCAGAGGCTTGGGCCTGAGCTTTGCATATCCCTGCACTGGGCACTGGAAGGGAAGCCTGGGCAGCCCTGGACTCAGCTGCAGCCTTTCTGCAGAAGCGAGTCCTGGAAACAGGTGTGCACAAGGTGCCGGGTCCTTTGTGCTCAGCCTCCTCCTTCCCATGGTGGGCGGAGAGCGGGTCACCACTGCAGGAAGCTGCGGGGCTGGGGCAGGAGCCAAAACCTGCTCATGGCCAGGCATGCTCTGAGGGTGTGTGGGCAGCCAGGGCACCTGAGCCCCGCTCTCCCAGACTAGCAGGCCTCATGCTGGGCGTGGCTGGGGCATCTGGAAGCACCAATTTCCTGCTTCTTCCTGGTGCCCAAGAGTTTCCCTGCTGGTCCTGGAAGGTGGCTCAGGTGTTTTGGCTTTACCCACCAGGGAGTGGCAGGAGCTGAGGCGATGGCGGGGCCACCTGGCAGCTGGAGGCTGGCATGCCCTCTGGCCACCACAGGGTAGCAGAGTACACAAGGGCAGTAGGGGCCGGGCCTCAAGTTCTGACCTTTTTGCTGTGCAGACTCCTCTCCCATCTGCTCCGGGCTCAGGGGACCAGAAGTTAGAGGGCAGCTGGGGACCTGAGCACCTAGGCCTGACCCTTACCCTTGGGGGTGAGGGTGCCTTGGAGTGGATGAAGTGGCTAACCCCACAGAACGCCTGCCTGGGGGTCGCGGTGGTGGCAGGTTTAGGAACAGTACTGGAGGCTGTGCAAGTTTGCTCTCTTTTGTTCTCCTGGCATTTTATTGAGCACCTACTCTGTGCCAGGCCCCATGTTGGGCCCTGAGCTAGGTGGTGGGTTTACAGTGTTTGAGCCTGGTGGGGGTGGCGGTTAAAAGAGAATGTTCTTAGAAAAGATAGCTTCTTCTTTGCTTTTTGCTTTCCAGGTCAAAGTCACTGGGCGAAGCCTGAGGCAAGGTCCTGGGTAGAAGCCATGAAGCCTCTTGGCAGGACGGGGGCTGCCACTGGCAGGGTCTGCAAATAGCGAGGGGTCTCGTGCTCCCTCAGGGTGCATTTTGTTCCTGATAAGTGAGGGGATGTTGGATGTGAACAGTGAGCCCAAAGGTCTGTCTGTGCGCCATTTCTGGGCGGGTGCTAGGCAGGAGTGAGAGAGACAAGAGCTGGTCCTCTCGGAGCTCGCTGCCCGTAGGCCAGGTGGGCTGGACCCAGGCAGTCCTGAGCCAGTGACATGGCCTGAGAGGGGGCTTTGCGGGCACAGGGAGAGGTCAGTGCACTCTGGGAGAGTTGGGAAGAGCTTCACCGCGGAGGTCTTTTGAGTGGGGCGTTGGAGGATTCGTAGGAGTGTTTAGGAAGCGTCCGGTCCAGGCAGGGGCTGAGGGGCTGCGCGCGCAGCCTCTGTAGGCCAAGGGACTGGAGCAAGGCCAGGAGGGAGTGGAAACCTGTGGGGCGAGGCCGGCTGTGGAGGGCCTCCTGCTGTGCCGTGGAGCCTCCCTATCGCAGTGGGACCACAGCATTTTTGACAAGTAAGAGGTGGTTGATGTGGATGGTCTCTGCAGTGAGTGGACGCAGGTGGCAGTGGCCAGTCCACGACCCGCTGGCCCGGTTCGCTGTGTGCCTTAGTTTGCTGGGCTGCTGTAACACAGCGCCACACACTGGGTGTGCAGAACAATGGCGATTCCTCTCTCGGTTCGGACGGAGGCTGGAAGTCCCAGATCCAGTGTGTGCAGGGCCACACTCCCTCTGAGGACACTAGGGAGGCGTCTGTGCCAGCAGCCTCTCTGAGCTCCTGGTGGTTCCTTGGCTGTGGCAGCCGAACCCCGTCTCCACATTCCTGTGCGGGGGTTTCTGGGTCCACATTTCCCCTTTTCACAAGGTCACCAGTCCTAGGATGAGGGACCCACCCCCACTCCAGTGTGACGTCATCTTAACATCACAGCTTCAAGGACCCTGTTCCCAAGTTAGGTTGCATTCGGGGGTCTGGGAGCTGGGACTTCAGCATAGCAATTCTGGGGGCACAATCGACTCATTTGGGTTGTCACAGTGTGTCGGATGCTGGGGATCCGGCAGTGACAGGTGGAGTCCCAATGGTCAATATGTGAAAAATATTAAATCTCAAGGTTCAAGGTGATCTTCTGTTTTAGTTAGCTTTGGCATCATCCCCACCAAAATACCTGACGAGAACAACTTAGAGAGGAGAAGTTTATTTGGGGCTCACAGTTCCGGAGGTCTCAGCCACAGATGGTCCAGTCGTTAGTCTGTGCCCAAGGGGAGGCAGCACATCATGGGGGAGGGCCCAGGGGAGGAGAGCTGCTCGCTCTTGGCAGCTGGAAACAGAGAGAGAGAGAAGGGGCTGCAGGACACATGCACCTTTCCAGGGTGTCCCCCGCAGTGACCTACCTCCTCCAGCCACAGCCCACCTGCCTGTGGTTACCACCTAATAATCCATTCAAGCCAGGATGGACCAATGAGGTTCTAGCTCTCAGAATATAATCATTGTACCTCTGACTGTTCCGGCAGTGTTAGCAGGAACTTCTGGGGGACACCTCATATCCAAACTGTATCATCTTGCTCGACTCCATGTCCTGCCTCCTGGACACACTGAGGCAGGAGTTGGGCCCCCAAGACCTTGGGCAGCCGTACCCTGTAGCTTTGCTGGGCTTAGAAGGTGCTGCCCTCATGGAATTGGCAGTCTGTCTAGAACACAGCTGAACAAGTGAACCCACCTGTCAGATCATGCCCTGAGAAAATAAAGCAAGATAAGGCAATAGGGGTGGGGAGAGGAGCTTCAGTCAGGTGCTCTGGGAAGGCCTCTCTAGACATGTAAAGAGCAGAGGAGCATTCTAGGCCAAAGGAGAAGCATGTGCAAAGGCCATGAGGTAGTAATGAGTGTTTCCCATTGGAGAACAATAAAAAAGCCATCATGGCTGGAGGTTAAGGAGAGCAAGGTGAGCAAGGGCCAGACATGGCCAGAGCTGGGAGTTCATGGTCAGTTCAGGCCTTTCCTAAGTGAGGAAGCCATTGATGCTGTAGCAGAATATCATAGACTAGGTAATTCTAATGGACAGGAAGCCACCTCTTCATACGTGATAGTGGCTTGGGAGGGGACATCTAAACCACAGCATTCTTCCCCCACACCCCACACCCCATGTCCTCACACACAGAATACATTCATTCTGTCCCAGCATCCCCAGAAATATCCATGCATTCCAGTCCCAACTCAGAAGTCTCAAGTCCAGAGTCCTGGGTAGGGCAGGTCCCCACTGTGATCCTGTGGGTCTCACAGGTGATGTGCATCCAGCACAGTGCCCAGTCAGGCACGGGACAGACACGCCATTCCAAGAGGGAGAACGGAGGGGTGGCCAGTGTTGTACGTCCCACACCCAGCAGCGTCGTCCTCTGCTCTGCAGGGTCAGCCCCATGTGGACAGGGCCAGAGCCCACAGCTGTGGCCACTGGAGCCACCCAGCCACACCCAGGCGAGGGCTCCACTGGACTGTGGGCTGCAGACACCGCGCCCAGCTGTCCCTCTGGCTCCTAGCTCCTAGTTGCCTCCAAGGTCTCTGAAATGCCTCAGGTCTTCTTTGTCCCACTGTCTCTGAGCATGGCACCTGGTCCTGCCAGCCATCCACACTGATCTCATCTTCAAAGGGCGGCTTGGCCGGTCCTGCATTTGCTGTCCTGTGGGGACATTTCATGCTCTGCTGGCCAGGTGCAGGGTTTCCACTTCTTCAGTTATAAACTGCACCGAGGGTTGTTCGTCCTCACGTCTCACCGCCTGCCACCACAGCCCCGGCCTCGCTGCCCGGGGGCTCCTTCCTCCAGGCCCCTTGGTCACGGCCCCACCTTCCACAGGGCGCTCGGGCGTGGACACAGGCGGCAGGTTCCTTGGAGCTTTATGGTGAGGATGGCCTTGCCACCCTGCTCCTTGGCACCATCTGAGACCTCAAGAGCAGGGCCTACATGTCCAGGGGTCCACCGGTGTCCTGGTCATGGCCACTTAAGAAGTCTCGGAGAACCAGACTTGCCTGTGGCTCTCCCCTCCTGAGCCTCAGGAACGGCCCTCGGTACTGCGCTCACCATCACAGAAGTGGTCCCCCGCATGCACTGTCCCAGCCGCAACCTTTCTCCAGTTCCAAGGCCACTTCCATATT